AGAGAGAGAGAGAGAGAGAGAGGGAGAGAGAGGGAGAGAGACAGAGAGAGAGAAATGCTGTAGAAGTTGTAGAAGAAGATTGTTGGGTGACTTTGCCCTGCAGGTGTGACAGGGGAAGTTCAGCTTATCAGATTGATGGAGACTGTCTCGCTACAGGGGGAGGGGAGGGCGGGAGACAGAGCGAGAGAGGGAGGAGGGGGTCTGGCAGAAAAGTGTCTGTCGACTCCTCCTGATACCTGCCTCCATGTCTGAGATGATATGGGAGATAATATTGATGATATTAAACGCAATAACTGTGTCTCCAGCTCCCCCTCCCTCGCTCCAGCCCCTGCAGGATAAAATCAATGTGCCATTCAATGTGATTTATAGCTGAAAATAATGGCACTGTTTAGGCAAGGGTGTATGTGTGTGTGTGTGTGTGTGCTTTAGTGTGTGTACAGTATGTTGCTGTGTGTTTGCATGTGGATGAGGTGGAGAGGTGGACGTGACGTGAAGACGGATGATGTGTGCGTCTCTGTGTGTGTGTGTGTGTTGATTTATTTGACGATGCAGATCCAATCTCTCAACGGTTACATTAATAACTGCAGAGTGTGAGGGCGTCACGTGGTCGTGGGGCGTTTATGGCTGGTATCGATCGGGCGCTATCGCTGTTTATCGGAGCGGGAATGCAAAGGTAAACACGGCCTTTGTGCAGACAGCTGAGGTGTTATCGGGGGGGGGGGGAGTGGATTAAGTGTTTTTTAAAAAGACACAGTTATAATGATAATAATAATCTTTAAACAAACCTGGAGGATTCTGCATTATGTTCTCACTGCAGATATGATATTCTATGTTTCCAGCAGCATCTGTGACGTGTTTTCTTTATACATCATCACTTTTGATATTTCTTTGGGCCACACACTGGATGATAGACTGGAGGTTTGAACATGACTGAAGTCAGTATTGTACACAGCTACGCTTACACTACACTCATCCATTATGGCATAAGATCTCTGCATATTAGTGCTCAGCCTGGTTGTGATGGTTACAACCCATAATAACACATTCACTAAATTACTTTAGCAAATGTAACCATCATTAATAATCATTTCTCTCTTTGTTAAGAGTTAAATAACTATTAACTACGTTCTACTCAACGACTAACGATGGTTATTATAAAGTGTTGCCATAACGCGTCAGGGAGGAGCTCTTCGATGCACGTCTCTGTATTTAGTGTGGATGTCGTTCAATAGGGTGTTCTTATGTTTTTGTATCACACGTTTACTGATCAGAGATGTTGTGAAGTGTGATTTCATCATCATAAGTTTGAGTGTGTCTGTTACCAGGTCAAGCTCTCACCACACACGCTGCTGAGCTCAGAGACGAGACTCTGGTACCAGAACACCAGCAGAACACCAGCAGGCTCTCAGGCTTCTCCCAACTTACATATTTGAGAGTTTAGAACAAACTGTTCACATATGGGTCAATATTCATTTGATTACATAAACACAAACATGTCTGATAACGATCCCTTCAAATATTTCTTTGAGAGAATTCCTGAGAAGATAAATACTGAGCCGGACATGAACTCAAACAAACTCTACCTCGCACACATTTCTCTACTTATGAGTCAACGTAAACATGAAACGGATGAATCTGTGGATAATATGTCCAAACGCATCACATGAGTCGAATCAAAGATGAGGGTTAGAGTCATTATGCAGCAGAATATCACCTGCACATCTAGAACACACTGTGCACCAGCATGATCTCATGCACAGTACTCCATTCAGATAGAGATGATCTCTTCTTCAGGGTTACCCACTGCAACAAGTTGCTTTGATCATGAACTCCATTACACTAACTGTGACTGCATAGTGACCGCTCATATAATATTCGTTATTATATTCAAGTGTGCAGTTAGAAACACAAACTCAGCCTAAAGATCTGACGATAAGTGAGGTGTGTGTGAAGGCTGTGACTCCCCCTAACCCTTGGCCCGATGATCATGATGCAAGACCAATGAAGAAGAGATCCTCGGCTCAGATAGCCTGAGGTGCTGTGATGCAACTATTAATCTAATCTCTCTAATCATGAGTCCCGCTAATAGGGAGGGACCCAGCAGTGTGATGAACTAGCTGATAGCAGCTGCACAGGCAAAGTTCACGGTTCAGGAGTGTGCACGCTGGGTAAGCACATGACACACACACACACACACACACACACACACACACACACAGTTCCGCACGCATCTCTTTGATCAGCGAGCAGGAGGCTCTGTAATCAGCCTGATCATTGGCAGCAGGGATATCAATGCTGATTACAGGAACAGAGGCGGCCTCAGTCTCTGCTGAAGGTGACGGGCCGGGGGAGGGGGGGGGACGAGACCTCCCTACTGTGAAGAGAGAGAGCGAGAGAGAGGGAAGGATGGTGGGCTTGGATGGAGAGACTATGAAAAGCTGTTGGAGGACAGATGGACAGAGACAGAAGTGACGGTAGAGAGTTTCTGATGAGTCTTTGAGAATCAAAGGGCCCGTCTCTGCGTGGCGAGGTGTCACGTTACAGGGACTCATTTCACTGCCGCCTTTGATCAACTGACAGGAACAGCCACTGCCCACACACACACACACACACACACACACACACACACACACACACACACACACACACACACACACACACACACAGGTTTCAATCCGTGTGAGTTTTTTTCGAAGGCTGATACTAAAGCGTGCTACCGGGGCTGAGGATGTTTGAATGTGTGTGAATGAGACTGTGTTGTGTGTCCAGAGCCCAGGACGCAGGACTTAGGAGGAGGCCCCGACGATAAAGACGAGGACGGGGAGGAGCCAGGCCCGACACACAGCGGCGGGGAGGAGGAGGAGGACGAGGAGGAAGAGCTGGAGGCGTCGCAGTGGAGGGGTCCAGGTCAGTACGCTCACTGTCATTTGCTACTTGTGACCAACCAAGACAAACACACTGACGCAAAACACAAAAGTGTTCCGTGATTTCAGGTCTGACTTCATTCCAGTATTTGCTTTTTTACTTCAGGATTGTGAAAGCGTTTAGTTCTTTGTACCTGCACAGGAAATCATGAGGCGACCACATTCTGTGTTTCACAATGCTTGAATGTGTGGAGAACTTTCACATTAAAGTCAAGTCATTATTTACTTCTGTCCTATGATGAGAGGTTTGTTGTGGAGTCCAGAGCACATGGGGCTGTACTCCTGCTCCCCAAAGCTTTGCATGAATGTGTATAAATACAAGTCGTGAGAGGACTTCAAACCGTGTTTCAGTGATGCACAACATCATTAATCAGTTTGTAATTAGAGAGAGAAGGAGGGCCGGAGACGGCCGTCACACAGTAGATATCAAATTTGATCACAACTCATGAATATTACCTTAACCAGCAGTCGTTACCAAGTTGTGCTGCACATACAATCAGTTTGGCTTATGATCAATGTAATATGAAACAATACACAATGAGAAGTAAATAACTGGACTCAGACTAACGTTACTCAGGTTATCACAGAAACATTGTTCACGTTATCAGACATGCAATTATAAACGTAACATGTTTTCAATAACAGAGTACGAGCGTATTGTAAAATGTACCGTAACTTAAACCAGCCCTCTGGCCTCTGCATCACACAGATATCACATATTTAATCAACACTTCTGTTAAGTTATGATAAACTATACTGTTAATATACTATATTTTCACAATTAACAGAGAGCCCAACCAGTCGCAACTTTGATATTCTGTAAAAACCCTTAATAACATGTTTTGACATTAAATAACAGCAGTTTTTATTTCAATTTATTTCTGAAATATCTGGACATGGAAACTCTCCGTTATGGTCAAAGTTGAGAAACTAAAACCCTTCACTGGGACAGAACATCGTTGGGGTTTGAAAGAAATCCAAACTCAACTCTCCACGCAACAAGGTAAAGTGTGCTGAACGTCGGTGTGCTGCAAAAAAGTCCAAAATGTCCGAATTCCAGCCAGCATACTATCATGTGGGCTCTTATATGCTCTCCAGTGTAGGCTGTGTGTCCTGGAGACGCTCCTCCGTCTCCTCTTTCAGGGTCCGTTGGTTTGTCCAACTGTCCCCTCGCAGGAGACGTGATGTGACAGGCCGGGAGAAAATGTATTCAAGTCGTAACAAAAAAACACACACACACACACACACACACACACACACACACACACACACACA